TCTCTCTGTCTCTCTCTCTCACTGTCCACTCTGCCTGTCAAAAATAAAAAAAAAAAGATGGTCCAAGTCCTTGGACCCCTGCACCCACATGGGAGACCCAGAAGAAGCTCCTGGCTCCTGGCTTCGGGTCGGCACAGCTCCAGCCATTGCTGCCATCTGCGGAGTGAACCAGCAGATGGAAGACCTCTCTCTCTGTCTCTACCTCTCTCTGTAACTCTTTAACTGAAAAATGATTAATATCCAGAATATATAAAGAGATCAAGAAACTCAACAGCAAAACAGACAACCCAGTTATGAAATGGGCAAATGACTTAAACAGACATTTTTCAAAAGAGGAAATCCAAATGGCCAACAGACAAATGAAAAAATGCTCAGGATCACTAGCAATCAGGGAAATGAAAATTGAAACCACAATGAGGCTTCACCTCACCCCAGCTAAAATGGCTTTCATACAGAAATCAAAAAACAACAAATGCTGGTGATGATATTGGGCAAAAGTAGTGTAATCCACTGTTGGTGGGAATGTAAACTGGTAAAACCACTATGGAAATCAGCTTGGAGATCCTCAGAAATCTGAATATAGACCTACCATATGACCCAGCCATCCCACTCCTGGGAATTTACCCAAGGGAAATGAAATGATCAAACTAAAGAGTTGTCTGCACCCCCATGTTTATTGCAGCTCAATTCACAATAGCTAAGACATAGAGTCAACTTAAAATGCCCATCAACTGAAGACTGGATAAAGAAATTATGGGATATGTACTGTATGGAATACTACACATCAGAAAAAAATGACCTTGGAAATGTCCAACTATTATTTCATTTACCTGGCTCTCAATGGCTTTTGCCTTTTCTTCTCTTTCAGGAATACCTACAATATGAATATTTTGTCACTTAGTAGTATCCCATATTTCATGTAGACTCCTTTCTTTTTTTAACTTTTATTTAATAAATATAAATTTCCAAAGTACAGTTTATGAATTACAATGGCTTTTCCCGCCATAAGTTCTTTTTTTTATTTAATAAATGTGAATTTACAAAGTGCAACTTTTGTATTGTTGTGGCCCCCCCCAACCTCCCTCCCTCCCTCCCGCGGCCCTCCCCTTTCCCACTCCCTCTCCCATCCAGCCCTTCATCGAGTTTCATTTTCAATCACCTTCATATACAGAAGATCAACTTAGTATACACCAAGCAAGGATTTCAACAGGCTGCACTCACACAACCGCACAAGGTATAGGGCATTGTTCGACTAGTAGTGTTGTTTTTAAGTTTCATGGTAAAACACATTAAGGACAGAGATCCTACGTGGGGAGCATGTACCCAGTGACTCCTGTTGTTGACTTAACAATTGGCACTCTTATTTATGACGTCAGCAATCACCCGAGACTCTTGCTGTGAGCTGTCTAGGCTATGGAAGCCCCTTGAGTTCACCGACTCTGAACTTGTTTAGTCAAGGCCGTATCACAGTGGAGGTTCCTTCCTCCCTTCAGAGAAAGGCGCCTCCCTCCTTAATGGCCTGTTCCTTCTGCTGGGGTCTTGTTCACCAGGATCTTTCATTTAGATTGTTTTTTGCCACCGTGTCATGGCTTCCCATGCCTGTGAGACTCTCATGGACCTTTAACCAGATCCGGATGATATTTCATGTAGACTCCTTTCATTCTTTTTAATTATTTTCTCTTTATTTTGGTCTGGTCTGATTGGATTATTTCAGAATTCTTATCCTCAAGGTCAGAAATTTTTTCCTCCATTTGGTCTATTCTGCAGTTAAAGCTCTCAGATTTTTTTTTATTTTAGTGATTGTAGATTCCATCTAAAAGATTTCTGTTTGGTTCTTCTTAATGAATTCTACCTACTTAGTAATGTTTTCATTCATGTCACTAATTGATTTCCTCATTTCTTTAATCTGTACTCTCTTTTATCTTATTGAGTTTCCTTACAATCATCATTTTGAATTCTGTATCTATATATCTGTTATTTAGATTTCCTTCATTTCAGGGTTCAACTGTGGGGGATCATGGGGAATTAATGTGTTCTTTTCAGGGCATCATGCTACCTTACTTCTTCATATCTGCTGTATCCCTATGTTGATATCTTCCTATCTGTATACTCATTCTTTCTTCTTTATGGAGTAGGCTTTATTAGAAAAGAGTTTATAGTTTAGCTGGAATGCAGGGTATCACTTGGCTTGTTGCTTTGGCTTTGGTTCTAGGTAAGCCCAGGCGTGTAGTCTCTGAGTGATTTCTTTTGTCTTAATGTCAACTGTGTCTGTAAGTGACACATTGGTCTAGTCTGCTGCAGTTCATAGGGATACAAGATGAATAAGGACTTCCTTGGGTGTATATCTTTAGCCTACAGAGAGTTTGGTATCTGTCGCCCTGGCAAGTATAATAGTCAGGGCCTTGTTCTTGGTGCTAAAGAAGACAAGGGTGGCTACCCCTTTATCCTGCTGGCAAGCCTTAGTGATGCCTGGGCTTGTGGCACCAATAGCTGTGACTCTAGGACTGTGTGATACAGATGGACTCTTTCTTGGGTCCTGCCAAGAGAGTCCAACTGGTGCTGTGGCTTATAATACCAACAGCCCTAGTCCTAGGACTAGGACATGTGTACTGAACCGTGTTCCGTCCTACAGGGTGACTATTACAAGGTATACAGGAAATTTTACTTTGTAGGGTATGAGTTCAGAGGGGTGGCATACCGTTCTGTTTTTCCCTGTGTCCACAGGGTAGATTCCAGTGGCACCAAGACATTTAGAGCAAATCGGTACAGTACTGGTGTTGTGGATATAGTGGGTACATTACCCAAATCTCCCAGAGTGGGAGTGAATTTGTTTCTGGGCTGTTTCTGGTGTTATTCTCCAGAAGCTGAGGTGCATCCCCCTGGCTCAGGTGAGTGTGTGAGTGGGTGAGTGTGTGAGTGTCCCTGGGACTGATGCC